CAGTCAAAGTGACATCATCTTTGTGCAGGCTGCTCACTGAAGCTTGTGACACGAGGCTGACACAGCGCCCGCCGACAGGGCTGACTGTGGCTTGACGAGTAACTTTCTCTCGGCAGCTGGAGTTATAGCAGAGGTTAGTCTAAGCGTCCCCAGACTTGTTTCTCTACATATAACTGCATTCTGAAGGTCTGGAAGTGAAGTGAAACAAATCTCGATGGGGAAACGTAGCAGATACGATTCTGCAGAACATCACGAGCGACGAGCATAAAAGCTTTCTGTACAAGGGGGGTCGGGCTCAGGGCTGTCTGATAGCTGTCAAACACACTGGTCACACGGGTGACTTAACACAGTGGTGCTACTCAGGTCTGGCTCAGACCTCACTGGACACAAAGGAAACTTTAAACACACCGCGGGTACATGCAGTACAACATGGCTTAAATAGCAAAATGATTTCTTTTCTGTGCATAAAAACTGACTAAGACATACTAAAATGTGAGAACACTGATGAGAGGAATTAAACACACGACATATGTCTTCTCTTAGTCTTCTCGACAATATTTTAATAATTACTGAACACTCGTTGGGGACATCATGTGATGTCAGGCGTGATGACGTCAGGCGACATCTCGAGGTGACGTCAGGCAGACATCTCGAGGGGGGACGTCAGGCAGACATCTCGAGGTGACGTCAGGCAGACATCCGAGGGTGACGTCAGGCAGACATCTCGAGGTGACGTCAGGGAGACATCTCGAGGTGATGTAGCAGACATCTCGAGGTGACGTCAGGCAGACATCGCGAAAGGGGACTCAGCAGACATCTGACTTCATGAAGTTGGCCAGCATCGTGGTGGACGTCGATGTGATGCGGGCAGCAGACCACAGCATGAGGCCTGGGACATCTGGTAACTCAGGTGGCTGGTAGATCCACGTGACATCACCCCACCCCACGTGGCGTTGTGATCCCCCGTGGTGTGTGATCACATGGCATGCTGAACCTACGTGGCTTGCTGATCTCGTGGCATGCTGATCTACGTGGCATGCTGATCTACGTGGCTTGCTGATCTACATGGCATGCTGATCCACGTAGCTTCGAGTGGCCTGGGCACTCGGATACAAAAGCTCTGGCAATGAATCACACGAAAAACAGCAGAAAACACAGCAGAGGGAGTGGGCAGTAGTGAGTGGTGTATTGGTAGGCTGGTGAGGTGTGAGAGTACAGCAGGGCGAGGCAAGGAGCGGCCACTTCCCCCACCCACAAACAAGTGGAGAACTCAAAACTGGACGCAGAAATCGCCACAAAACTCGCCTCTGGCTTGCTGAAACAGCTGTGCTGAGCTGAACAACAACAGCAACAAACATAAAGTGACGCTGAACACGTGACATGAGAAACAGCGTGGATAGCGTGGGGTCATTACAATTCTCGGAGAACTTCGGCAAATTTCGGCCTGGATCCTGCTTGTACCTGTCTGGATGCTCAAAGTGCAGACACGACATCAGGATAACTCGTTTAGGACGGATGCTTCTCGTAGGGGATGAAGAAGTGAAGATGACTTCATACCTCTCACAAGTACTCCCAGCTCTCTCTCCCTGGGATGGCCCTGCTGGGCCAGGGCACAAACCACAAGCCTGTGTACCCACCACAACTTAACAATAAACAAAGAAGCCTGCCGAAGAAGACGTATCATTAACCACCCGCTTACAGCCTACCAAACAATCTCGCTATAGGACATCCAGCTTCTTCTCATTCATAAACATCCACAATCATCTCTCTCTCTCTTATCATTTGCACAACATCCATGCAGGAGGATTTAGACAAACTTAATACCTAGTCAGAAAAGTGGCAGATGCAGTTCAATGTAGAAAAATGTAAGGTTCTGAAGCTCGGGAGTGTCTACAACCCTAGGACTTGTAAGCTAAATAATGTAGAACTTAGCCATACAGATTGCAAAAAGGACTTGGGGGTTATGATAAGCAGCAACCTTAAACCAAGATAGCAATGCCTAAGTGTACGTAATAAAGCAAACAGATTACTGGGATTTATATCAAGAAGTGTAAGCAACAGAAGTTAAGTGGTTATATTACAGCTTTATACATCATTAGTAAGGCCTCGCCTAGATTATGCAGCTCAGTTCTGGTCTCCATATTACAAAATGGACATAAATTCATTAGAAAATGTTCAGCGTAGAATGCCTAAATTAATACATAGCATTAGAAATCTTCCTTATGAAGAAAGATTGAAGACCCTTAAATTACATTCACTTGTCTCCCCTCATTCTTCATCTAAACATGACGAAGTGTATAAGTGGGAGATGGTATTAATAAAGGGGATATTAATAAGGTCTTGAGGATATCTCTCCAAGAGAGAACCCGCAGTAATGGATTTAAATTAGACAAATTTAGATTTTAGAAAGGACATAGGAAAGTATTGGTTTGGAAATAGGGTAGTTGGTGAGTGGAACAGTCTACCTTTGGGTTGTTGAGGTTTAGACTTCCAGTAGTTTCAAATTTAGGTTGGATAAATACACGAGTGAGAGGGTTTGGATTTGAGTGACTTGCATACGAGTGGATAGTTTTTTTTTTTTTAACAAGTGGGGGCCATCTCCCACCGAGGCAGGGTGACCCAAAAAGAAAGAAAAAATCCCCAAAAAAGAAAATATTTTCATCATTCAACATTTTCAGAGCTTATTTTTTTGGGGTACATTGAAATTGGGTTGGCAAATGTTTTGTTAGTGGGATGGATTGTAAAGGACCTGCCTAGTATGGGCCAACAGGCCTGCTGCAGTGTTCCTCTTTTTTTATGTTTTTTATGTCCCTTTCCACATCAACTTATTTACAAACAAATTCACCCAGTGGAATTTCTTGAACTCTATAAATTTCCACATTATTTTTCTTCTATTTCTATACCTTATAAAATACTGTCTTTGCAATTACTTTGTGTGTGTTGTTTTACAACAGAACCTATTTTTATATTGAAATACAGGTTAACATATCTGCCTTTATGAGTGATCAATTCTCATGACAGATTTAAGGCAGTTGTGCCCCATAGCAGTTTAATATACTAATTAGGTACCTCAGATAATGAGTTTTTAATTGCTACCTGTTGGGTCCTATAACCCTGTAAACTTCCCATTTTTAGAAATACATAGTACATATTATGTAGAAAACTGATAAATTATCATTTTAATTTTTCTAATTTTTTGTGCTCTTTCTTGATTAGCCTGCTACGAATCTACTCCTACCTCATCTCCCAAAACATTCTCAACCCCTGCCAATTTGGATTCAGGCCTAATAAAAATACTAATGATGCTATTATACACATGCTAGAACATATATACACTGCAATAGAGAAAAAAGAAGTCCACTGGGGATCTTCATTGACTTACGTAAAGCTTTTGATACAGTTGACCATGACTTGCTCCACTAAAATTGTCACACTATGGTATTAGAGGGCACTCCCTCAACTACTCCAAGTCTTACCTCAGCAACAGAAGCCAATATGTGTACGCAAATGGGGCAAGCTCTTCCACACATACCAATTACAGTTGGTGTCCCACAGGGATGTGTCCTTGGCCCTCTTCTCTTTCTCCTATACATAAATGACCTACCAAATGCTTTGCATTACTCAAACCCACACTTTTTGCAGATGACACTACATACGTCTTCTCTCTCCGAGCCCAGTCACGCTAGCCATACTGTAAACACCGAATTACAGAAAAATATCTACCTGGATGAGGACTAACAAACTTACACTAAACAATGACAAAACCTACTTCATTCAGTTTGGTAACAGAGCTACAGATGTACCTCTTAACATAACAATAAACGGATCACCTATTACAAAGCTAACAGAGGGAAAATTCTTAGGAATCCACCTCGATAATAGACTCAAATTTCATACACATATACAACAAATTTCTAAGAAAATTTCCAAGACTGTAGGCATACTATCGAAGATACGGTACTATGTTCCACAGTCAGCCCTCCTGGCCCTATATCACTCTCTTATTTACCCCTATCTCACCTATGGAATTTGTGCATGGGGCTCAACAACAATTAACCATCTCAGACCACTAATTCCCAACAAAAGGCTGCAGTTAGAATGATAACAAATTCTCACTACAGGCAACACACTCCACCAATATTCAAAACACTCAACCTACTCACCATACAAAACATCCATATTATTATTGCATCTATTACATACGTAGAACACTTAACTCTGATATTAACCCTCCCCTCAAACATCTCTTGCCAACCTCAACAGAACATATGACCATAACACAAGGCACAGATCACTCTTTGATGTTCCTCGTGTCCATCTCACGCTATGCAAAAACTCAATGCACATAAAAGGCCTAAAATCTGGAATTCATTACCTGTAAATATAAAAGAAACACTACCTGTTTATAAATTCAAGTCTCTTCTCAAAGATCACTTACTCAAAACCAAATAAATACTGAATAACTGAACCTTATAAATTGTATATCCTATATGTTACTCACAATTATATCACACAAATGTTAGACCTAGGACCCAATCTAACTTTATTTTTTTAAATACACTACCTAACAGAATACTCCATTCGACTGAATGTACAGCAATGCATGCAACCATATGACCTGTCTTTGTAATACTCATTTGTGCTTTATAGTTATCTGTTTACAATAATGTTTTATCACTGATTTCATCATTGCTTAGTTAATCTTAAGTTAATTTTAAGCCAGCCCGTAATGCTATGCATATAAGTGGCTTTGGCATGCTGCTCTTACCTGTATTTTTTGTACCTCTGTATGTATGCTTAAATTACTAAAAAAATTACTAAATAAAGAGGGAAATAGGGATAAAAGCTCAGTTTGGTGTAAAACAGTAACTAGTGTTACTTATCTGATATTAAGATTTCTCCAGATATAGAAGAGGGAAAATTTTGGTTAATGTTAGATTAACTAGGGGTATGAATTAATAAATTTATAGTGAAATTATCCACTTTTAGTAATGGAAGTTGCAAGTGGAGAGTATGGCGAGTTTACCTATAAGCTCACCCACTGCAGTGAGGTGTGGGAAATGCGACAATCTTGGTCCAGACAACCACCTTGCGGTGAGAGCCAAGCAGCAAATTATTGGTGAGTTATTAATCTGGCTACTTTAAAGATTGTGAATATCTGTAAACTTTGTAGTAACCTATTTTGTGTGGTCATGAATAAATTGTAGAAAAAATATATTTGTTTGGTACTTTACATTGATATGAAGTGATACTAAGCATAAAGCAAATAACATAACAGTATTCAGTTCCTAAAATTAAGGTACGTAAATTATAATTGGTAATTTTTCTCCTTCATCCCTTCCCCATCAGTAGCTCTAGACGATGATGAGCCAGAGAGTCTGGGGGGGGTAGCAGTCCACTTGGAGTAACTAAGGGGGATGCGATGGTCAACATGCCCCAGCTCGGCACTCTCTTCTTGCTTCTGAAGATGAGAGTATTGATGATATTCCTAATTCCTTTCCCACATCTGGCTGGAAGCAGTTTGTCATTCTGTTCAAGAGAAACTTTCCTCTCTATTATCAGAGATGGGGTAAGTGGGTTAAGTTTTCCTGGCTCTTAATATGGCCTAGGTAACAGTTGTATACTGTAGCAAACCTGTAGAGAGATCATAATATGCAGTCATTTTGACAAAAAAATTTAACCAGAGGATGCTTCACTGATAAACCCATACTCCTAGCTAGAGCACTTGGTACAGTACTGGTGAATATACAATAACCATTACAGATGGAGGCCCTTGGCTTGCAGCTACTGCATCACTAGCTAAGAATTTTAAAATTGCTGGGGTATGTTTACTACTAATAGATGTAAAATGGCAGAGTATTATAGGAATTATCCCATGACTCTAGTTGCAACCTAAATGCAGTGACTACTGTTCATTCTCTTGAATAACACTATACTATTTTTATTTTTAATTTTTAAATCCTAGGTGGGATATACAGAAAAGTACTGCAATCAGCAAATATGAAACTGAATTTAGCTGGTTCTTTCCTGGATAATTTTTTTTATAAAGAAAAAGCACTGAAGAATCAAGGCTGAGACTGAAGTGCCAAGTGGGTAAAAACAGTCTTGTAAGCAGAGAATTTAATGTATCTAAAAAAACAAGGTTGATGTTTGGTTAAGATTGATTTAAGAATTTGAAAGCTCAAATTTAACTTATAAAACACCATCCACTGGCAGAGTACTCTGCCAGTGGAGCTGTGAGACACCCCATACCATAGTTTCCTACCACTAAATTAAGGTCGGCCATCACTAATCCAGCAATAAGTTATCCAATTCCATCGTAATCCGGCACTAATTTCAGCTAGCATAATTTCAAATTTCATCATTATACTGACTCAGAAATTGTGTAAATGGTTGTAAATTCACAGCAGCAAGCCAGTGAAGGAGAAGGCAGTGATGAAAATGAGGAAGATGTAGCAGAAACTCTATATTGATAGGTTAATTAAGTGTATTCTAACGTAACCACTCTGTAATCTGGCAAACTCACTAATTCGGCACACTACAGGTCCCAGTGATGCTGGATTAGTGATGGCCGACCTGTACTTAGTAACCATTTTAAAATCATTCCTCTTCATATTGCTAACTTTATTTTCAACTTGCATTCTCCCAAATTAGAATAGCTCTAAAATTGCCTCTAGCCCTTTCTTCAAACTACATTGCTAATTTATGTTTTATTCTTTTACTTCATTGCCAGGCCCCTTCCCCCAATGCAAACATTCAGTTATTCACTAAATAGTTGACTCACTATTTAGTGTTATCACACTTCAAGTAACCATCTGAACTGCAATATTTCCATCCCTCCTTCAACATGCAGGCACTAATTGCCTCCAGGAATCAAATTCATATAACAAATTTTCATGAATCCATTTATAAATGTTGCTTAGCTCGCTCGCTCACAACAGCACATAAAGCCATAAGACAAAATTGTCTTTACTCCCTCTGATCTATTGTGCTCACACTCCTGCTGGATGCTAAAGCCCTTAACACTCAAAAACCACCTTTATGCATTCCATAATTTTCTTGGACTATACATGCTCCATTCACTAAATTCCCAAACTGCCTTAACAATATTGCTTTGTTCTCTTAACCCCTTCAGGGTCCAAGGCCAAAATCTGAAGTGGTGCTCCAGTGTCCAAGAAATTTTGAAAAAAAAAAAAAAAAAAAAAATTTCTTACAGAATTAAAGAGCATATTTTTGTGAAGGTAATAAGACAAAAAAAAAATTTCTGATCAGTACTTACCGAGATACAGTGCCAAGAAGTTTGTCCAAAATGATGTGGTGGCGGCAACATCGACGAATTCCACATACGCGCATTACTTTATTTAGCGGTTTTTATAGTTTTTCTTTTCTTTTCCAATTTTTTTCTTGTCCTACTAACATTTGGGGCCTGAGAGACCAATACTGTATATAATGTATATATATAAACTCACTGTATTGAACACAATAACCGCACTAAAGTTATTATCATATTATTGTTTACCACTGTTGTTTATTACAATAAACATCCACAAATCTTGTATAATACTAATGTTCTATCATATATTTACAATCACGGGACAGGGTTTTTAGAACTGCTGGACTTGTGGAACTCCTTGAAACATGGCACCATGCACAGAGGCACCTTACATTCCTCACACATAAACCGAGTGTCTTTGCGTCTTTGTTGCCGTCGTTTTGTTTGTGCACGATGATGCTTTCTTTGAGCAAATTTCTTCCGAGTTGAAGGAAGCTGTATTATGAAATGATCACCTTCCCTCTCAACGCTTGGATATACCTGGGTAATTCGAGGACCTTGTTTTTATAGCAGGTGTTCTTACTTGGTAGTTCATTATGAGTTGTCTGACAACAGACAAACAAAATTCACCATACGGTGCTCTGTTGCCAGTCTTTATTGGTACATTTATATGCATTGAGCATTGAAATGTCCATGGAGATGGAAGAAAAGTTTCATGTACCACTTGTAACTCTTACAAACACAATCAACAAAACCAATTTTGCATGTACATTTGTCAACCAAGCGCATGTTTTGTGTATAATCAATCACTGTCACTGGTTTTCGAATACGTTCATTTTGTCACTTGATCAAATTTGCACTGTCTTGCATTTCATTACGGTGAAAGGGGTTTTCAACAAAGTGACATCTCGTTTGTCATGCCACTGTAATGCCATGATGTCATTGGCAGTAAACACCTGCACGTCATCACCACGAGCACCTGCGTTGAGCCTGGGCATATGTTTACGATTAGAACGCATTGTGCCACACACATCTGTCTTGTTCACTCACATGAAATCACTGAGTAATGGGCTTGTGTACCAGTTATCAGTATATAATGTATGCCCTTTACCAAGATAAGGTGCCATCATGTTTCTCACTACGTCACCTGAGATACCCAATAACTTCCCGTGTATACAACAATATCCAACACCAGGCCACTGTCACAGTCACTGAGTACAAACAGTTTTATACCAAAGCGTTTCCTCTTGCTCGGTATATACTGCTTGAATGACAGTCTACCTTTGAACAAAATCAAAGACTCGTCAATTACGAGATTCTTGAATGGATAAAAGTATATGCTGAACTTTTGTTTGAGATACATGAAAACATTTCTAATCTTGTATAACCTGTCACTTCTGTCAGGCCTGGTTTTGTCAGAGAAGTGCAAAAATACGTAACAGTAAGATTTAAACCTGTTCACTGGAAGATTTCATGAAGACCCGGGGTAGAAATTAGCGATCCCGTAGATCAGTATGCTTTTATATTATGCTTATAGACATGAGGCATAAGCATTATTGTTGCAAAAAGGAAATACATTTCTACAACAGTCGTCTCTTTTCACCTGTGTAGTCTTGACTGTGGTGATATGATCGTATTTGCCATGGTGTACTCAAAATACTTATTACTTTCCCTGACAATAGTTTCCATCAATGGCTGGTCAAAGAATAATTCAAAGAATTCCAGTTCATTGGCCGTGGTTCCAAGGGGACAAGTAGGTAGAATTCCACTTTGAGAGTCGTCAAAGTGGTGGGGCTTGGGAACAAAATTGGGATTTTGCTGCCAATCCCAGATACGGTTTGCTGGTGGATACTGGACATCATAGGATGGTTGTGCGGGTGGTTGTGGTTGTGGTGGGCTGGTGGCTGACACTCTGCTTTATCCTTGAACTGACGAGTCAGCAGCGTGGGTCCCAGCCTAGGCTGGTGAGTCAGGCATGGCGGTGCCACTACCATCACCACTACCACCATCTACTGATGCCTGTGGTCTATCCATGCCAAGTGTAGCCACATCATCCTCATTATCACTATCTAAACCTGGTGTAGGGTAGGGCCACGGGATGTACTCCGTCCCCTGGGCACAGCATAGGGTACACTACCCGAGCACATGCGGCGGCAAACATACCGACACTTCACTGGTGACTATGATTCCTCACTATCACTACTCGAATGATCGTCAAGCGCAATAAAATCACAATCCACATCACTATCATCATTACTGAAGTCAGAGGCCTGGCCACGCGAAAATATTAGTTTTCTCTTGCGTTGAGGCACAACCGACCGTGAGTCATGAGTGCCCACACCAGAGGTAGAAGGTTGAGGATCGTCAGGGTTTTCTGCACTATTATCGATATCCTGGTCATTCCTTTCGGTCACTAACTGATCAAAGCCATAGAATTCGTCTTCATTTCCACTTCCATCAGTGTCAGAACTATCAGATAGGAAGAGGAGAGTCCCAATTTTATGGGGAGCGAGAGCTGACTTGCGACGAGGCATGGTGAACAAGGGTAACTGAGCCGGCGTTCCCACAATGCTATGCGGGTGCCTAGATTTTTTGTTTATAGCGCACACCCACCACGCAGACCCGTTCTCTCACATGTAGGCCTATGAGCGCTTTCGCGCTAAATTTGATGGCGCTAGAATTTTGGCGTAGATCTATGGTTTGGACACTCAACGTGAAGCCGTAGATCTACGGGACGGACCTTGAAAGGGTTAATTATACCTCTGATAACCCCACTTTTAATTTCTGCTTGAATTCTCTACACCATATTCATAACAGACATCACTCTGACATGACATATCCATTGCCTCTATCTGCCTCCTTGCTCCAGGGTTTAAGGCACATGCCTAAATGTTTGTAATAATAATTATTATTTCTACAAATACATGTACAAGGTATACATACAGGCCTAGCTGAAATAAATGACATGTTACTACATAGAAAGCCACTTGTTATGCAGAGCATTTCGAGCAAATTAGGTCAGTTTTGTCCCAGGATGAGACCCACACCAGTCAATTAACACCCAGGTACCCATTTTCCTGATGGGGAACATAGACAACCGGTGTAAGGAAACACGCCCAATGTTTCTACCCTTGCCATGTGAAGCGAAAGCTTTAGCCACCAGGCCACGGGGCTGATAGATTCCTTGTAAGTATTTATATCAAGAAGTACTATAATACACGTGTATGTCTATCCAAAGATAATTCGGCAGCTATATACAGTACATCATAAGTAAGACTTTTTAGATGATGCAATGC